TTTTTTTTTTTTTTTTTTTTAAGTCCCGTCTCCTAGGGTTTCAAGGAATTTTCATTGTTCTCAGCAAGCCTATTTGTTTTTCCTTCAGGCTGGCAATACACTGACTGAAGAGAGTATTCGGTTACCCCCTCCGAGTTTTCATTTCAGCAAGGGGACTGCACATTCCACATGGTGTAAGGTTTCTAAAGAGATTGAGTACATATATCCAAAACAACATTAATCACAACTTAAAACAAGAATAAAGTGAAGCAATCTTTACATATGTCGAGAGAATGATTCTTGGGAATCATGGAAAAGGATAATAAAATCTATAAAATCACCAATAGTAAAAATCCTTTAGACTAAAAGGATTAGTGCATATATCTCCCCTGCTGGTTCTAACAAAGGTCCATGAATGGTTATGTAAATAACAATTCCATTTCTCTGTGTGTTTGAGATCCAAATATATTCACTAGGGGGAAAAAGTGCAATCCCTTTTAATTACACTAAAAATAAAACGTTAACCAACAAATTTCTAATGCAAACCTTCCTAAAATAAAGGCTTCACAAGCAACAGTAATAAACACATCTGCAATTCAGTGATTCTCAGTCAGGGGCTATGTAGGGTGACCATATTACTTTTATAGAAATCTGGGACACTGGCCCACCCCCAGCAGTGGCGCTCTACCACAATGTCTGCCCGCCCACCTGCCTGGCGCACCATGCTGCTCCTTTTCCCAGACAACTGCACCCCATACCCCACCCCTGTGATCCCAGGACTTCTGTTTTAATTTTCATCAACTGGCTAGGACTGGCATATGAAATCTGGGATTGTCCTGGCCAAACTGGGATGTATGGTGGCCCCCCTGCTGTGGCACCCTGGGATGCCATGCAATATTTGCACTATTAGCAGTGAAAACATGATTCCAAAGTTAAACCTAGGGATTTCAAATTGGAAAACATAGCACTAAAAACATTCTGCCCTGTTACAGTTTTTTTTGAGTTCTTCGCAACAGAAAAATTAGCTCTTACATTACTCTTGTCAAAAAAAGAAAAAAAAGAGAAAAACAGAGCTGGCATTTTCTGAAGAGTTTCTTGCTCTCCCGGAGAAGTTCATACATATTTAAAAAGGCCGATAGCTCTATTACTCATCACTTCTTATAATACTGCAAGATTAGATTCAACGAGAAAAGAAAGAGGCAACTGAGGGGGAAAAAAAATGTCATCAAAATGCTGCAACATTATTTACCCCATTTCTGCTGTCAGAAGTATTTTTAATCGATAAGGCTGGGTTTTCTTTTTTTTTTTT